GGGGGGCGAGGCGGGGGCGGCACAGCTTTGCATCAGTTGCATAATCGGGGCCTGGGTTAAACAGAAAATGAGTTACTGTGTGCTTGCATCGGGGACAGCGCAGCTTATGTGTCTTCACCTTAGGAAGTTGGGATATTTGGTTCGTGGCTGAGCTAATGCGCCTTGAAAAGTTCGTCATTCATGATTTCTTGTCAGTTTTGGTGTAACACTGAACTCCCGCACTCATAGTCTGTTTTTTGCTCAACTGTTTAACTGTCACATGACGTGAAACCATAGATCAAAAAACATTAAAGATTGATTTTAAGTCACTCAATTTTATGCGAGAAACTGAAATGCGCCCTGAATTCCTGGCTTTTTATCTCCCCCTATTCTAAAATCTGGAAATCAGTTAGATTTCAATGTAAAATCGAAATTAGAATACAACAAGCGCTAGAGGATCCGTTCCAGTTATTTGCCTCGAATTGTATGAGAATCAGTACGCTAAAATTTGGATTTCCTTACTCTTTCATTTCCGATTTATCTCGAATTTCAATCCGATTTCACAACCCAAGAAAGATGTATATATGTGTATATATATACATATATATACATATATATATGTGTATATATATGCATATACATATATATATATACATATAGTAAGGTTGTGAACTGATTCTGTTCTTTCGAATTATTTGGTGAAATAGTGCCTCTGAATTTCCAGTTTTGGTCTCTTTCTCAAGTTACAAGAATTAGTCCTGGTTTGGATCTCAGGAACAGAGTCGTAAGACAGGACACTGGAGGCATGCGAGTTAATTTTAGGTCCGTGGTCACTCATATGTTCCAAAATTTTTCGCAAAATTTGAAGTTTCCAGACGTAGGCTTTGGCAGGCGAAAAATATGAAGTAGGCTTTGGCAGTTACGTGTATACATACGTTCTATTTCGCCATAGGGCGTATTCATTTATATAAAGCCGAACGTGTATACGTAGAAGACGAAGGTCCTGCTGCCCATTTTTATGCGTTTTGTGCTGCGTAACAGCAGTACAAAACGCAAATTGTCACGGGGTTCTCTTGTGTCCGCAGCAACTTGTCCGCAACTTTCAACTCGGGAACCACAAAAACTAGGAAGCTGAAAATTTGATGGAACGTTCCCAACCCACATGTGACCCCGCAAATTTAAATTCAGCTTCCCCGTACCCGCGGGTAGCGCGTACGGCCCCTCGAAAGTTTTTTACGGGTAAGTTAATATCTCGAGAACCACGGAGTCTAGGAGGCTGAAATTTTGGGGTATTAACCCCCTTCCCACGCTCAACCTTGCCCATTCAAATTCAGCGTTCTCGTGCTGTCGGGTATCACCTATGGCCTGGTGAAAATTTTGACGGGTAAATTATTAACTCGGAAATCACGAAAAAATGTTCACCTTTCAAGGTTCCGAGTTCAGCTTTCATGCGCTGGTGCGTGAAATTTTTAACTGTTTTCCAATGTCTGAACTATTTTTGCATAAACTAAAGTACAAAACAGTGAAAATCATTAATAGGCAATCATTCGATGGGCTGAATTGCACAAAACGCATGATCGCACCGG